CCCTCCCCGGTCCCAGCCGGGCGCGCGGATGGTACGTCCCGGCCCGCCCAGGTGGTAGCGCCTGCGCCGGCCTACCGTAATTCCCCTACGTCCCGCGCCCCTAGCCGGCGCGTTGCTGACTGAGCCCGCCCCGCAGCTCCGCGCCCCCTTGGCCTGAGGGGTCCTCGGGACTTTGCCAGTCTTGTCCCGAGCCCCAGCCGCTGGAGAGGAGACCCATGTTCCTAGGTGAGTCTCACGGGGAAGCTGGGGTCCGGACGAGGTCCGGCTGCCAGGACTCTCCATGGGATAAATGGACAGAACCCGGGGTGGAGGATCCTACGCAGCCCTAGGCCTGCGGGTGGATGTCGCTGGGCGCCACTGGCTCTACCTCCACTTACCTGAAAGTGGAATGGGCTCAAGCGCCCGCCATCCACAGTGACTCTAGGGTGGGGTCGGCTGGGCGATATGGCCGTGAGGTGTCTGTAGGGTCCCAGCCCAGCTGTGAGGGCTGCCAGTGGGGCGAGGGGATCAGAAAGGGCTTTGGCGCGGCATGGTGAGGCGGTTTCACCGACCCTGCCCCAGCTGGGCGTCGGAGTCGGTGCCAGGCTGAAAGTCCTCTCGAGGACGGCAGGGGGCGCGAGAGTCTGCACCTCAGGCAACCTGGCTCTGGCCTGGCCCCTGCTGGGGAAGGAGACGGAAAGGACCCACCAAGCCAGGAGAGGCCCTGGCCTGCCTTGATGAAAAACTTTGGCCGAGAGCACCTGGGACCCTACAAATTCGTCCGTAACCTTCCCCAGATTTGGGGGTCCCTAGGAGGATTTTACTCTGCCTTTGCCAGATTCTGACACACATTAGGCCCCAGCAGTCATCCCTAGACAGAAGATTCTAGAGAACTGACTAGTGCCTTCCTTGCACAGGTGGGGAGAAGAAGAGGGGTAGGTGGGCCCCAGAAGCAGGTCTTCTGCAACCCAGGCATGTGCCCACTCCCCCATTCTCTCGCAAGGAGCCTTTTACATGGCTCTGAAAAAAGAGATGCCAGGCTCAGGCTCAGGCTGCTATGCTGGGATCCTGGGCCCCAGGGTCTGGTACGTTTGTGCAGGGACTGGGTAGGAGGTGAAGTTCATGGACCACAGCCTTTCCTTCTGTCCCTAGCACGGGTCCCCGCTGGATGGCTCCCTGAGGAGGAAGGAGCCTCACTGGCTTCTGGAGCCTGTGCAGTGGGACTGTCCTGCAGAGAGTTTCTCTATAGGGCAGGGCCTTAGGGCAGGCTTGGCCTCCAGGTGGATGCCAGAACCCCAGGATGAGGGGTGAGGCCTAGGCCTAGGGGAAGGGAGGAGCCAGGTGGGCTGCTGGGAGCAAGAGAGCAGCCTGGCAGAGCTGGCTCCTCCCTGGCTGACTGACCTGCCCACACATGCAGCCTCCACCCCTGGATTTCCAAGGTGCCAGATGGGGCCTTGGGGCTGGTAGATTCTCAGGGGAGCTTAGCTCAGTTGAGGAGCCCCCTGGGCAGGGTTGTCCCTCTAGCCAGGGAGCCCCAACTCTTGGTTCCAGGCCAGTCCGCTGTGGACAGAGCACGGAGCTGGCCCCAGACCTTGGCCCAGACCTGTGACCTCCCCTTGACAAGGAGCTCCCTCCCCGCTGCAGACCAGGCTGGGGCCTCAAACCGTCGTGGGGGAGGGGTGCCCATAGGCCTCTGCTTTTCTGGGGCTGGGGAGGTGGTGCTGGGCGGTAGTGGGAGGGGGCTCCTGCCTTGCAGACTCCATTATTCATCAGCCTGAGCATCTGGTTTCTGGGTATCAGTTTCAACAAGCCCATCCTGACTCATGAGCCTGGAGCTGGGGCTGGGCTGGGGAGGGGCCCCTCCCCAGGGAGTCAGAGGCCAGGACCTTTGGGGCCTCCGCATGGGCTGTTTCAGCTCCCTCATGCAGAGAGGAGGTGCGAACCTCAGAGCCTACCGAGGCCTCCTCCCTCCCCTGGTGCAGGGGGCCTGGGGCTCCTTTTCTCCCCTACCCCGCAGGTTCCTTGACCCTGCACTCTTGGCCCTGGGACAGCAGGACCCTGGCCCTCTAAGGAGCATCCCCAGCCCTGACTGGAAGACCCAAGCAGGAGCATGACTCAAGGATGGCCAGGACCTGGTCACTCAGGTGACCCCCAGTGACCTGCCCTGGTCCAGCCCTGGTGGTCTCCACTTGATGCTACCTGGTTACCCCAGGCCAGTGGGCTTGGGGATTGTCCCTGTCCCCAAGGGGGTGGACCTCAAGGCCCTGCTGCCCAAACCACCACTTGACTGTTCTTGTTGCACCACCCCCCGTGCCCAAGGCACATGGGGTAGTGGTCCAAAGCATGGGCATCCACTTCCCCACTTACCAGCTAGTGTGCTAAGACCAATCACTGCCTCTCCAAACTGTGGTTTCTTTGTCTGTTGAATGGGAGAATAACAGTATCTCCTCCTTATGGTCTTTGAGAAGAATGAACAGGATCTGGCACAGGCCTGGCACTTCAGAATGCTCAGCTGTTGGCCTTGGGGGCAGCAGTAGGGGACCTGGGCAACACCAGCAGGATTTGAGGTGGGAACTGACCTGCCTGGCATCAGCAGGCCAAGGTCCTGGATGCTAGGAAGAAGGAAAAAGCCTGTGGTCAGGCAGTGGGGAAGGCTTTGTTGACCATTGGCCATAGGAAGGGACATCCTGGCCAAGACCTTCCCTGCTCCAGTGGCCTTCTCTGGCATGAAGCCCTTTCTCTGCCTTCATTCATCATCTGGCCTACACTGAGCACCTGTGGTGTGCCAGGACTGTCCTGAGTGCCGAGGACAAAGCGTGGGCCAGACAGCCGAGACCCCTGGCCTCTGGAGAGGATATTCTAGCAGGGAAGAGTGATAATCAGGAAGTGAACAAAAGAATAAAATAATTTCAGGTAGTAATAGATATTTAGGAGGGAATGATTCAACTTAAGGGGATTGAGAGTTCCAAGGTAAGGGGCTATTTATTTTGAGAGGAGGTTAAAAGGCTCCTTGGGGAGATAGCATTTAAACTGGGGCTCAGTGCCAGCTGTTGGAAGATCAGGGGCACATGCTGTTCCAGACAGAGAACAGAGGTGCAGGCGCCGAGCCTGGTGAGTCGTGGGGATGCAGGAAGCCAGCACAGCGGACCACCACGTGGAACCGGCCTGCAGGCAAGGTAGGAGCCAGGCCACAGCTGGGGTTTTATTTTAAGCAAGATGGGAAACCACAGGAGGGTTTGGTTTGTAGGGGAGTGATGTGATCAAGTTTTAGTTTTCAAAAGATTTGTCTATGGTGGGGACAATGGATGACTTGGGATTTGGGAGCAGATTTGCTCAAAACCTTCTGGCCCGAATAAATTGCTGTTCCCCCTGAAACCTTCCGAGACCCTCGCTCGCCCACCCTCTTTCCTCACAGACCAGATTGAGGAGGAGCTGTCTAGGGGGTGGGCGGGTTGATAGCAATGTCCCTTGCCCCCATGGGCATTGAGGAGTGCCGTAGGGAGGCCATTCCAGAATCCTAGTCAGAAGTCTGGGTGTCAGTCTTGCCTGTGGACTTTTATGTCACTCTATCCCCCGCATAATGAATGAGGATAATAGTGCCTGCCTCCACCTCCTGGTACAAGTGCTTTGATAAGCTACAGTGGGGACCCCAGCCCCCCACCCCAATCCTGGTGGGCATCCTCTCAGTCTTTGCTGAGCGCCCCCTGGTGGCAGGACACGCAGAACCAGCCGTGAGGCCTTGAGCCAGGAGGGACCAGCCTGGAGCAGCAGGGACCTGGCAGAAAGCAGAGCTGGGCTGCGGGGGGTTTACCTGACACTGTCTCACCCAACTGCTGGCTCCTCCCAAAGTACTACCCTCTCTGCCCCACACACCTGCGTTCCGCTTGCCACCTACATCTGTGATCGCTAGGCCCCCCCCCGCTCCTCTGCCAGCACCACTGAGGAGGGTAGTGGGAGCAGGTATCCCCCAGGGACTGAGACTCTGAGGCAGGGTTCCCCTGGATTGTGAGTGGGCACTAAGATGACCCTCAGGAGGGCCTCTGAGCGCCGGATGTGTGGCTCTGGTGGGAAAGCTGGTGATCAGAGCAGAGGCAGGTGTCCCTGGGGCTGAACAGGGACAGAGTTCTGAGGGCCTGGAGAGGGATATGTCCCTGGTCTGGTACCCCTCTTCTGCTACCAGCATTAAGGGAGCTCCCTCTGGGGAGGGAGACAAGGTCACCGTGGGGCAGAGGCTCTGAGGCAGGAGTCCCCAGGATGGAGGGAAGGAGCTAAGATGCCCTTTCGGCCAGGAGGGACCTTCTGTGCCTCAATGTTTTCGTTGGGGGTGGGGTACAGGTCCGAGGAGAGTGGGGCGCCTGCGGGCCTGGGCGGGGTCGGGGTTCCCTAGTCAAGACGGGGCGGTGGGGTGGGCCCTGTCCCCAGCATCCAAGGACTCCCTGGGGGGAGGGAGGGAGGGTCCGGAGGAGGGAACCTCTGGAGCCCGGGGGTCC